CACACACACACACCACACACACACACACACACACACACACACACACACACACACACACATATGTGCGCGTGCGCACACACACACAATTTTAAAAGTACAACATTGTACATGTATAAACCGGTAACATAGCTGGTTACTGTTGAGTCCTCCACACTCTACATCATTGTAACATAGTGAAGTTGGTTGTTCACATCAGCATTACCACAAGCATCATGGCATTATTCAATATGCAGACTACAAATTAAGAGATGTGGGCACCTGTCAGCTCTATTATAATCTCCTTCTGCAACGTGTGACTGTACAGACGGACAGCAGTACAGTCCTGTACTAGTCCACCTCATAGAGGACAAACACTGATCCACAATAGCCAATGTAGACAGCCTGTCCTAACCTTCCCTTATACCCAGGAGAGTAGACATGAAAACGTGAGAAAAGCTCTGCTGTGACAACTCATCTTTATTGTTACCATGACCATATCTAGGAGGCAGGAGCATGCTTCTGGATATGCCTGACCCTGCATTTCCAGGGGAAGCTAATAGGAACAAGAAGTCCATTCTGAATGTGGGTGGTACCATCCCAGGGGCTGAGGGTTTGAAAAGGGGGAGAAGGTGAGTGCTGAGTGCCAGCATGCCCCTGTCTTCCGGCAGCATCTTGTGAACTGCTCTGTACCACCATGCTGTCCCCACCATGGAGGACTGAGCCCTCAGGATGCAGGTTTCCTCCCTGAAGTTGTTTCTGTCAGGTATCTGTGTCCTAAAAACAAAGGGCTAAAGGATCTGGCCAGATTATTTTCCTGGGAAAAAGGCAGAGATCTTCCATGGAAGTTGTCAATGGAACATTGGAGGTAGCCAGTGAGGGTTTCTGACTCAATTACCATGCTTTTCCACAGCTCCCCCGATAGTCGGCTTTTCCCAGAAAAGGGATCTGGTGTGGTTTCAAGGACTTTCAGAAATCTGTCTCACTGTATACTACTCACACCAACCTTTCCAAGGTACATGACCTCCATACCATTTCCAGAAAAACAAGCCCATAGAGCAGAGGTTCTCAAACTGAGGTCATGACCCCTTTGGGGGTGTTGAATAATCCTCTCACAGGGGTTGCATAACAAATATCCTGCATATCAGATATTTACATAATGATTCATAACAGTAGCAAAATTACAGTTATGAAGTAGCAACAAAATAATTTTGTGATTGAGTGTCATCATAACATGAGGAACTGTATTAAAAGGTTGCAGCACTAAGAAGGTTGAGAACCACTGCCATAGAGAAAGGCCATGGTCACCCTTAGCCTATATCCAAATGTCAGGTGTCCCCCAGAGCAAGTGTAGGTGGGAGGAGTCAGAAAACCCAGAGAAGTTGGAAGGGGTCCCAGTGAGCAGAGAATTCAGAAACATGGAGGGGCTAGAAGGCAAAGCCCAGGAATGTCCAAGATGCTTGGCCTGGCTTACCCTAACTGGGCAGGCCAGGCTGGGGAAAAGAGGTTGCAGAGGGCAGAGGCAATCCAGCTCACCCCCAAATCCACTAACCACAATTAGCCTTAGCGCCTAGCCCTGTAACCGCATATTGCTGTTCAGTGCTATAAAAGCCAAGGCGTCTGGACTGCCACTAAGGAAATGTAAATCATCTGGGCCACATGTCATCAGGCAAGCCAAACCATTGTTGACCTGAGAGGGTTATACAAAACCCTTTCAGATGGAATTCACATCCATGCCATTGCAGCCCATTAACTAAATCCCAGCTAACACGGAAACTCTCCAGAAACATGGGCATCCTGGTACCTGTCGACTAGTTAGAATTTCTAGATTCCCCCCCCCCCCCCCCGAACTGATTTAGAAATTTCCTTACACTCACTAATTCCCCAAAGGGAGATTTTTAAAGCACTTCAAACCATCTTGCTTTTTAAAGACCCTAATATCCCCCTTTAGTTCTGTGGACTGTGGATGTGCAGGGATTGAAAAGAGAGGTACCTCCTCAGATGTGAGGTGAGGCAGCTCGGAAAAGGACCAAGAAAATGAAAACTCGCAAGCAGCAGAACAAAAGCACTGGCTTGGGATGGCCTCCAAGACATGCCTTCTATTTCTGCTGCTCCTGAGGCTTGGAGCAGAAGCAGGAGCTGGAAAACAGGAAAGAGCACAGAGAAACTGAAGAAAAGCTGCCTGGAGTTCACAGACTATTTCAGACGCAGCGTGAGATGTCATCTCTGATAGAAGGCCCAGGAACACTGAGAGAAGTACGGATTAGGGATTGTCTACTCAATTCCTCAGTACATGAACTAGGAGTCTGTGGTGATCTATTGTGTACCCTAATAAAATTTGCTTGAAGATCAGAGAGACAAAGGAACAAGCCACTGCCACAACTTGCCTCTAGGACTCCTCAGCCTCAAAAGCTTCAGTTCCTGTCTCCTCACGCCTTATATACCTTTCTCTGCTCAGCCATCACTTCCTTCATATTACTGGGATTAAAGGTGTGTGATTCCCAAGTACTGGGATTAAAGGTGTGTGCCACCACTGCCTGGCTCTGTCTTTCTCCTAGACTGAGTCAATCTCATGTAGTCCAGGGTGGCTTTGAACTCTCAGAGATCCAGATGGAGCTCTGCCTCCTGTGTGCTAGGATTAAAGGTGTGTGCCACCACTGCCTGGCTTCTATGTTTAATTTAGTGGCTTGTTCTGTCCTCTGATCTTCAGGCAGATTTTATTAGGGTACACAACATATCACCACAAGAGTCTCTTGTGCTCCACGTGACTGAATGGGTTAACCTGGGACTGCAGTGTGAATGGCCCCCAGAGAATACCAATTCCAAATGAGAGATGTCTTGTAAGTTCTTACAGGCTAGTGACAGTGCAGGTCCACAGAGTTTATATTGAGCCGCTTAGTAAGAATTGACTGAGTACTGTAAATGGTGCAAGATTCTGCTCACAAACCAAGAATAGCTTTGCACACTGGATTTTACCAAGGACACCTATCCAATTCCACATTCAACAATAGCATGAGCTTCGCAGCACCACCCCCGAGTCCCTGAGGCAGGGGTGAGTGCCCAGACACTTAGAATTCTGTCTGTTTTGTTCAACTGTGTGTGGCAGTTCAACTGTCCCCTTGGTAGCACAGTGACACAGCAAGCCTAAGGATTTTCTATGGAGATTTTTAACGTCGGGGACCACAGACACTCAAATAATTTAAGTCCATTTGCAGCATCAAAAGAAACAAGAAGAAGTCAGACAGAGTGCCTTGCAAATTTGTGTGTAAACGGGCACAGGGTCCACATTGATCACTTCTGCAGCTCTTCGGTTTTAGTGTCCAGGCTGCCAGGTGACGACCAACTCTGTCGTTTTCAGAGAATTTTCAAGTTACTGCCTCATCACTTTTGTCTTAGTTGGGACAGAGCTTCCTGATGCCTGTCATTCTTGCTGGTTGGTTGCTTTTAGGTGGGGGGTCTCACTTTGTAGCCCAGGTTACCCCTCCCATCCCTGATTCCTTAACCTCAGTCTCCCTGGTGCTGTGCTTAGAGGTATATACCACCATACCTGACTCATTCTTTCTAATTATAAGTTACTCTTGGTCTAGAACAAGTTTTCTTCTTCATTCTTATTGATTTGATTTGTTGTAGTTTATGGGACTGCTTCACAGTATAGAATAATGCAATTTTTACATGAGGCTTATTTCTGGCCTGTAATTTCCCAATCACCAACTAACGTTTATCTATCTGCCAGAGCAGTATAAGGACAGAGTATGCACTTTGATGAAAATATCTGAGATGATATAAACCATCTTTAAATTCATTCCATTTCAATAATTATTAGCATGCTATAAGAAAAATAGGGTTGGGCCGGGCGGTGGTGGCGCACGCCTTTAATCCCAGCACTTGGGAGGCAGAGGCAGGTGGATCTCTGTGAGTTCGAGGCCAGCCTGGGCTACCAA